GGAGAGGGGTCTGGCCAGGCAGTAGAAATATGGGGTGGTGTCTGTGCTCAAATCATCACACTGGCCAGGACTAACGTCACAAAGCTGTACAACATCACACATAATGAGGCCCTGGATGACAGCCAGCCTGTTGTGAGGAAAACATTATTTGCAGCCGTTATCTCAAGAAACAACAGTTTCCCCAGACACCCACAGTAGGTCATTGGAAGAACCAGGACTGGAACCTGGTGTCAGAGCCCTTACGGTCAAGTTCTTGTCATTAAGCCGCCCTGTGTGGGAGGGAGGCTCCGCATTCACTTATGTTGTCAGGGCTCGAAAAGCCAACTAGCAGAGAAAACATTACCCATGATGCTCAGTAGATGCTCATAGAATCCGCTCCACACAGGTTTGTCCACAGTTGTTGAAAGAGATGATAGAAAACAAAATGATAAAAACTGCTTTCAGGGGTGCCTGGGTGGCTCAGTTGGTTAAGTGTCTGACTTCAGCTCAGGTCATGACCTCGTCCATGAGTTCCAGCCCTGCATTGGGCTCTGTGCTGACAGCTCAGAGCCTGGAGCCTGTTTCGGATTCTGAGGCTCCCTCTCTCTCTGCCCCTCCCCTGCTCATGCTCTGTCTCTCTCTCTCTCTCTCTCTGTCTCTCTCCCAAAAAATGAATAAATGTTAAAAATAATTTTAAAAATCCTGCTTTCAGATTCAAAAAGTGCATTCCTATTGGTAACCTCAATTCGCTTTTTACGACATCACTGTAAGTAGATAAGACAGGAGTTATTCATGGTCTAGGTTTTTATAATTAACATACCATAAAATTCATCATTTAAAGTACGTAATTCAGTGGTTTTTATTATATTCACAGGGTTGTGCAACCATCACCACTGTCTAATTACGGAACATTTCCGTCACCCCGCAAGGAAACCCCATACCCTTTAGCTGTCACTCTCTATTGTTCCCTCCCCCAAGCCTCTGGCAACTGCTAATCTACTTTTTCTGTGGACTTGTCTCTTCCGGGCATTGCATATCAATGGGATCATAGAATATGTGCTCTCTTATGTGTGGCCTCTTTCACTTACAGTGTTTTCGAGGCTCATCTATGTTGTAGTATATCTCAGTACTTCATCCCTTTTATGGCTGAATAATAGCCCATTCCTTGGATATACTATGTTTCGCTCATCCATTCATCACTTGATGGACATTTGGGTTGTTTCTGTCTCCTCACTGTTATGAATAAAGCTGTTATGTACATTCATGTACAAGTTTTTGTGCGGACATATGTTTTCATTTCTCCTGGGCATATACCCAAGATTAGAATTGCTGGGTGATATGGTAACACTGCATTTAACTTTTTGGGAACTTCTAGATAGCTTTCCAAAGTGCACCATTTTACAGTCCCTTCGAGAATGTGTGAGGGTTTCAGTTTCTGTACATCCTCTCCAACATTTGTTGTTACTTGTCCTTTTTATTATAGCCCTCCTAGTAGGTGTATTTTATAGGTAAGAAAACGGAGGGTACATTGTTTGCCAAGGTTCTTAGAGCTAGTAAATGGTCAAGCTAGAACTTTTTTTAAAAAAGCAAATACTGGGGCGCCTGGGTGGCGCAGTCGGTTAAGCGTCCGACTTCAGCCAGGTCACGATCTCACGGTCCGTGAGTTCGAGCCCCGCGTTGGGCTCTGGGCTGATGGCTCAGAGCCTGGAGCCTGTTTCCGATTCTGTGTCCCCCTCTCTCTCTGCCCCTCCCCCGTTCATGCTCTGTCTCTCTCTGTCCCAAAAATAAATAAACGTTGAAAAAAAAATTAAAAAACAAAACAAAACACAAATACTTACATGATGTATGTTCTGTGCTAGGCATTATTTAAGTCTTTTGCTCTTGCTGTTTATTCTTTATAGCAACCTGTAGGGAAGGTATTGTTATCATCTTTGTTTACAAATGCATACAGGGCAGGACTAGGCCTAGAGTTCTTGTCATTAAGAACTCTAACATTTAAGGAGATATCACTGTCATATTCCACCAGCACCTGGATGACCCTTAAAGGTTTCATCCTGTGCCTCCCTGGCCTCATTCTAGTTCCGGCCCTGTTTGAAGAGACTGAAGCATCAAGAGATTGAGTAGCTTCCCCAAAGTTGCATTAGTTATTAAATGGCAGAGCTGGGGTTCCAATTCAGGAAACCTGGCTTCAGAGTTCAAGTCATTAACCACCTAGGCCTTCGATGTCCAAGCTGGGCCTTTTCCATTTCTTTCTCAAACGTGAGTTTCCAAAATTAGCCAGAGCTTTGACGAGTGAGGAATCCAAAGTAAAATCCCACGGATGGGTTATGGGAAGACCAAACAGAACTAACTGACCTCAGCCTCCCAGGTACCTACTACATATTCTCCCGGAAGAGCTAACTGACCACACGGTTTCCCTTGGCCCCATCTGTGCTTATTATCCCAACTCTGCATAAAACTGCCTAGTTTTTGCAGGCCACCCTGCCAGTGGCCAGATGGACTCTGTCCTGGTGGGGAAGAGGCCATCCCGAACCATCAGGATGATTAGCTCTGGCCGCTGGAAGGAAACCACATGCTCTCTTAGCCCAGTGGGGGTGAGTCTGCCCGATTCCAGGGTCCCGAGTCAAGTATTCAGAAATCACATCTCTCATAATCACACCCTGACTGGCTGTTCATTCTCTTTAGCCCGTGTATCAGAGTTTGCTGGTCATTTTTTTTTTTTTTTGAAACATCATCTTTCCAGTGGTGGCTGCTGTTTGTGTGGGTTTGGGATGGCTCTGTGGTTTAGGCCGAGGCTCCCGTAAGGTGATGTGAATACAAAAATGTCCACCGGCACTTGTGTGCCTTACCTCCTCGGGGTGATAGGCGGCCTTTGGAAAGACACTCACTCAAGTCATCATGTTCTCCCTCTGCAGCCTCTGTTCCCCAAGGTCAGGATCAAGTCGGTCCCTAGCGGGGGACCTGGCCCAGGCCAGCAGACTTTGGCTATATCCCCAAAGCAGAGGTTTTTTAAGAAAATTTATAGCCGTCATCCTCCATCAAAAATGATCACTTTTGTGGTCATGTTCTCACCCTTTTGTTCGGAATTTCAATTCCTCAAAGCTATGGGTCTCTGGACCAGCAGCCCCTGGGCGCTCATTGGAAATGCAGAGTCTTAGGCCTGGCCCCAGACCCGCTGAATCAGAATCTGCCTCCAACAAGATCCCTCGCTGATTCCAGTGCACCTCCACGTTGGAGAAGCACTGCTCCACGTGTCCTCATTTCTCTATTACCCTCAGCTGGGGTCTCCACCCGACGCTGGCTTTGAGGCTGGAATTGTTGGTAGGCTTTCTGATCTTAAAAAGAAAAGATGCACACACGTACAGAAATTCTTTCCCTCACCTTTACATGATGTCATTCATTTTACCTGGCCTGCCGCAAAAAAGAAAATGACAAATTACATCCAAGCTATATATTTTTAAGACTAACTTCTTAATTGCATCTCTCAAAGCAGCACACTGGAATCCAGCCCCCCCCCCCCCATCATTAACAGAGTCCCAAGTGTTGCCAAGACTAATCGAGAAATGCCGAAAGGCAAAATAAACACTGTAGTACAGTTTAATTCAAAACCATATCAGCCAAGAATGAAGGTGCGATTAGTGATAAAGATGTTAATAATTAGTTGTGGTCTGTTAAATTTTATATTCGGTGGTTACATAGAGTGAAGAAAGAATTTCCTCATGAGGACAGAAATTAATGTTTCACTTTGATTGCTATTTTAATGTGCTTATTTTAATGGGGCCATCCTGCAGAAACCCTTGGGCACATTTCCAATTTTACAGAAATGTAGAATTAATTATTATGGAAGCATATAATTTGCGAGCTGGAATGACCTTCGTGGTTATTAGATCCAGCTCAGACATTTTAGAAGTAAGTAAGAGTTGGATGATTTCTTCAAGTCCTTCAATAGCGTATTGGAACCTTGCTCCCGAGCTCAGACCAGCGGCAGAGAAACCCTCCTCACATCCCTGCAGACGGGAGCACTTCTCCTGGCCTCAGAATCCCCAAATCATCCTGTGTTGGTGCTCCTGGGGCCTTTACCTCACCTTGCATTATGTCCTGGTTGTTTGCCGTGGTGAGGTTGGGGGCTTGAAGCATATCTGATTCACTTCTGTATTCTTGACTGTTCCTGGCTCTGTATTTTGTAAACCATAGGTGCACAATAAATTTACATGCAGGGTGATATGCATGAGCTACTTTATCCCGTTCACGAGAGCTGACTGGGTCTTCATAATGGCAGCTTGAAATCGGCCACGGTGGAAGTACTTACACCCTGGATGTAGACAGATGGCACAAATAAGGGCTTTTCCTCCCCCGGGAAGCCAGTTATTAAACACTTAGCAGCACACAACTGTTTACATGATTTTTCTCAGGTCTCACAAGGCAACAGGTCTTGACGATCTAAAGAATATACCAACGTGGAGATGACCGTTTACCCACCGTTCAGCGTGGGTTGCCTCCAGAGTGATGGAGTAGCCGGTTATTCAGCCTCTTCTAATTTCTTCAGGGATTAAGTTTGACCCAGTGCAAGTCAGGCCTCAGGACTGCACTGGAGTGTGGTTGCTTAGCTAAGCTCCACTTACCTGGAAAAGCTATTTGGGCATGAATGGTAATGGAAACCGGTCTGAAACATCAGGCACAGTTGAGTGAGAAAAAAATCCACAGATTATTTTCAGAGAAAACAAACGAACAGGAAGTTGCTGTGGCCGAAATTATAATTATACCCTTATACTTCTCAAAAATCCCTCAGTGGCTCCCTACAGCCTACCAACACACCCAAAGTCCCTGCTGTAAGTCATACACTGACCACAGCTTGCCGTTCCAACCTCATTTTCAGCCACTCACATTGCCCACCTTTGTTGTGCTTTCCAGCCTCTGTAAGAGCCTGTCTACAGAGAGAGCCAGCTTCTGTGACGCTCCCTTCTTCCCAAATGCCCTCCCTCTCCCACCATAGGCTCCATCCCTACCTGGTCCCCTCTATCATGGACCACAGCATCTGGGTTAACATGAAACTTCCTGTGACTCTGTTCCTCTCCTCTTGTGTGTCGTTCTTTAGGAGCAGGACCCGCGGTCCCATCGGCCCTGGCAAGTACGGCTATGGCAAGGCCCCGTACATCTTACCACTGCAGACGGACTCTGAACACTCGCCGCAGAGGCTTCGGAGGCAGAGGCCCTCGGCCCGGCATTCCAGGTCCCAGGGGGCATCTGGTCCTAGCCACGGCTACGGCCTGTCAGCCCACCGGGCTCCCCAGCACGGGCCTCTGTACCAGAGTGACAGTGGCCCTCGCTCTGGACTGCAGACCTCCGAGGCCTCCCTCTACCAGATGCCTTTGACCCACGACGGAGGCTTTCCGGCAGCTTCGAGTCTCTTCCATGGCCCGGAAATAAGCAGCGGCCGCGGCATGGGGGCCCACGGGGCAGCTCAGAGCTTCTCACAGCCTGCCCGGTCCACAGCCATTTCCTGCATCGGGGCCTATCGGCAGTACAAGCTATGCAACACTAACGTGAGTACGCACTGCCTCACACCGGGCCAGGAGACAGCTGCTGGTCCCCCTTCTGCTTGGCCAGCGAAAACACGGAAAACAGCACTGGCAGGGTCTTTTAGGCCATGTTAATATTAGCCCCCCCTTTATCTTCTCTCCCTTTTTCTCTCTGTGCATTCTCCGTGGATACTTCTCGTTTTCACTAGGTTGTCACTGTAGTAACTTAGGAGTAACTTCTTAAATTGCTCACTGGCAATCACTGTTGCTACATATCAAACAACCTCCAGATTCTCAGTGACTTTATAAACGGGTGGCTAACTCAGGGCCAACGGTGGTGGTGCTGAAGAGTCGGGAGTCCGGGGAGCTTTGCCTCACATCAGTACCAATCCAGGAAGTCTCCTGCCGCCCCTGGTGTGAGCACTCTGGATATTGTATGCGGAGAAAGTCTGATCGTGAATAACTTGCTAAAGATTGCATAGCTGATCTGTGGCAAAGCAACTTCTAAATGGAAAGTCCCCGACAAGACTAAATGTGGTTTTTAAAAAAATACCAGTTTAAAGACTGTATACAAAAGAGAAAGGGATAAGAGAACGTTTAAAGGTTAAATTTCCAAGCTGCTATATTTTTCATTAATAATTTAATCTACCTTAATATTCTGTTACTGGGTAACAGGACAGCTGTTATATATTAGCTTCAATTCTCTCATTAAAAATATATTTCCTGCTATAGAGTCCATAGAAATGACTTAATTTGTGATTTTAATAATTCCTCTGAATGCCTGGATTGCTTTCTAGCTTTTCTTCCACTGACAGACTTCAGGAATTATTAATTTTTGTAAAGCGGTCGTTTTTCTAAAGCCATTACTAATCAGTCAACCATTAAGTCTTAATTAAGCATCGTTGCTTGTCTTATAACAGCCCGGGTGCCATGGAAGATGAAAGGAAGGTCATATTATCTATCTCACAGAGTTAGGAGGATCAAATGAGGTGATATTGAGAAAGGGCTTTATAAACCGAACAGAAATATTTGTGTCCGTGATCGGACGTGGCCCCTGTTCTTGAATATCTTTGCTTTCCTTTTAAAGTGAAATGAATTCATTTCTAAAGTAGAACACGTTGTCCCATTGACTTGTATATTTCTTAAATTTGAAGACCACATAAACCAGAAAGAGACGGAAGCAGAGAGAGGGCGTTTGGCACGTATTTCTGTCACTTCGCCTACACTTTTCAAGCACGCGTGGTCTTGCTAGACCTTTCCTGCCGACGGCAGGGCTGCCTCTCTCCATTGTAGACGTTGTGTCTTCTCTGGGTGCTGGGATGACTCCACTACTAAGGACATTGAACTGCGAGGAATCTTAGACAATTCTGGTGAATTTATGATGTGGGCCATCATTCTGGCAGTTGGCAAAGTAACATCTCAAACCCAGGACAGAGAGGTGAATGTCGACAGAGGATCATACAGCTTTAGTTCCCTTCTCTTGGCTGTAGCATGTCCCACAGTGTCCTCCCCAGTGCACCCCATTATCCTGAGACCCATCCCACTTACCCTGATTGAGCGATGTCATTCCTTAGAGGTCCCATTACTGCCTATCTTCTTCTTTTTTTTTTAAATTTTTAAATCTTTATTTTTGAGAGAGGGAGAGAGAGACAGAATGCGAGCAGGGGAGGGGCAGAGAGAGAGGGAGACGCAGAATCCGAAGCAGGCTCCAGGCTCTGAGCTGTCAGCACAGAGCCCCACGTGGGGCTTAAAACCCACAAACTGCGAGATCATGACCTAAACCAAAGTTGGATACTTAACCGACTGAGCCACTCAGGTGCCCCGTTTTTTTTTTTTTTTTTTAATTTTTAAAAAATATTTATTTATTTTTGAAAGAGAGAGAGCTTGTCTTCTTTTTATAAGCCCATGGCTTCTTGGTACTTGGATCATCCCCCAAACATCATGAACACCTTAAAACTCTCTGTGTTAGGAGGCCCTAAGACCTTTACTAGGTTTGATGATTTGCTGGGAGGATTCACAGTTATGATTTTTTACAACAAAAGGATACGGAGCAAAATCAGCAAAGAGAAAGGCACACGGGGCAAAGTTTAGAGGAAACCAGGCACAGGCTTCCATTAGTCCACTCCCAGTGGAGTCACACAGGATGTGCTTAATTCCCCCAGGAGTGAGTTGTGACAACACACGTGAACTATTGTCTACCAGGGAAGCTCATTAGAGACTCTGTGCCCAAGGTTTTTACTGGGGGCTAGTCACATAGGCACCCTCTGCCTGCCACATATCAAAATTCCAGGCTCCCATCAGGAAAGCTGGCGTTCAGCATAAACTATATCGCTTGTCCAAATAGCTTAGGCATAGTGAGTCTCTCTTATCACTTAGGGGGTGATGGAATCCCTTCTGAAATCCAAGCTCCCAGATGCCAGCCACGGACCAGTCTTGTAAGCAGGCCTGTCTGAAGAGAACTGTCTCAGTCCTGCTGTGTTGAGTCTTAACCTGCACACTTCCCATGTGGGACCCCAGTGCTCTGGCACCTTCGCATGGATAACCTCACATGGATATTTACATATCTGCCCCAATGGGCAACATGAAGAGATAGCATGAATCTACAAATTGTGCACATCTTCCTACTCAAAGAGGAAAGAGGTAAAGGGCAGTATTGTGAAAAATCATACGAGTCTAATAGGGAATACAGGTTATTTTATGTCCTTCAAAGATTTAAAAAGGAATACGTGCATTTAGAGATCTCTCCCAGTTCGTACCTGGGAGAAGAAAGAGAAGGGAAAGTAGGCCAGGGTGGGTTGGAAACATCCCCTGATTTCAGAACATCATCCCATAAACTAAGTGCCCAGTATATCCCACCCAGGTTCTCAATGGAATGTCCTACTTTCTAAGACTACCCTCACAGTGGAGGTCTCAGTTGTGAGGTATATAGTAATGCATCTAAGGGGAGGTGTGAATTAGGGGAAATGGTTTTGCAGGCTTCCAGATTCCAGAACAGTGTCTCATCACTGATCCCCATCCCGTCCGCCCTCAACACCCTTGTGGTCCAATGGTGAAGAAGACCAGTGCAGCAGTGTACAAATCATTGCACTTGGTGCTGGAGCACTTCATGAGAGGGAAGAACTTTGGGAGCACAAAGGAGGAGGCCACTGGGTTGGGGAAGACTCCACTGAGGAGGAAAAAACTGAGCTAGGCTTCTAAGGATGGCCCCAAAAGAGAAAAGGGCAGTCTGGGGCAAAAGAAACAGCTTGGACAGAGACGGGGAAGCAGGATTATGCCAGAATCTCAGGTGCCATGATGCTTTGCCAGGTTGTAGAGACCCTCCTTCCTTTCCCTCTCACATCCTCCTATCCGCTTCAAATAATCAATCTTTTTTTTTTTTTTAATCTTTATTTGTTTTTGAGAGAGAGGGAGAGAAAGAGCACACATGCATGTGAGCTGGGGAGGGGCAGAGAGCGAGGGAGACACAGAATCTGAAGCAGGCTCCAGGCTCCACACTGTCAGCACAGAGCCTGATGCGGGGCTGGAACCCCTGAGCAGTGAGATCATGACCTGAGCCGAAGTCGGACGCTCAACTGACTGAGCCACCCAGGCGCCCCTGAATAATCAACAAATAATGGGGAATTTGTTCTTTGACGTCTCGAAATACAGAGATTTCACATGGGTGTTGCTTGACTTTCATACACGAGATAGATGCTTGAAAAACTTTTAAAACACAGTGCAGAGGGAGAAAGCAATTCTAATCCACTGGTTCAATTGGATGTTAGGCTGCAGGGCGGTCTAGGATAGCGGGCTCAGGAGCCAGCCGTGCTAGATGTAAGCCTCAGTTTCCTTGGGCAAGGGCGCTTAACTCCCTGGGACCATCTATGAAGTCGGGGTGATAATAACACCAACTCCATAGTGTTGATCATGTACATAGGGAGCTGACACGTTGTTAGGAAAATAAAGTGTTCTGACCTGGATGAGTGAACGCACTTGTGTGCCTCTCTGGAGGCTGGGAGTGGAGCACAGTCTCCCCATGTCAGTTTCCAAGTGCTTAGTCATGAAACTGGATGAAACGGTCAGACTTGCTCAGACTCCCCTTTTGTCCTCTGGATTAGCTGGGGTTCAGAGTTCTTTCCCTTCCCCAACAATAAAACACAATTGCTGAGGGCCCCAACAGGGCAACTGTGATGTAGATTCGGTATAATCACCCTAGGGTCAGGTGTGAAGTAATGAGAAAGTAGGGCTATAGATTAAGTTCCTGCCAGTGAATGCTTTACACCCTCGAATGTGTGTGTTTAATGTGAAGCCTTACCTTGGGATGTCATCTGGGAATATTAAGCATTCTAGTGTGTCTTTAGGCTTGTTTGACTCTTAGTAAGATTTCCTCTATGAAATAATGTAAAATCAATAGTAAATGCAGTACTAACGATCTTGGAATGTAGACTTTAAAGAAAAGGAAGAGTTTTTTTTTCTTTTTTTTCTTGTTTACATTGTATACGAGGAAGTTGCAAGCCCCAGTGTAGATATAGAATCTTATGGTCTTTTATTTTTTATTTTTTAATTTTTTAATTGTATTATTTTTTTAGAGAGAGAGAACACACGACAGGGGGAGAGAGAGAGAAGAGAGAGAGAATCTTTTTTTTTTAATTTTTTTTTTAACGTTTATTTATTTTTGAGACAGAGAGAGACAGAGCATGAATGGGGGAGGGTCAGAGAGAGGGAGACACAGAATCTGAAACAGGCTCCAGGCTCTGAGCGGCCAGCACAGAGCCCGACGCGGGGCTCGAACTCACAGACCGCAAGATCACGACCTGAGCCGAAGTCGGCCGCTTAACCAACTGAGCCACCCAGGCGCCCCGAGAGAGAGAGAATCTTAAGCAGGCTCCATGCTCAGCTCAGAGCCCAACACGGGGCTCGATCCCACAACCCTGAGATCATGACCTGAGCTGAAATGAACAGTTGGATGCTCAACTGACTAAGCCACCCAGGCGCCCGGAGAATCTTATGGTCTTTTAGAGCAGGCTAGAGATGTCAATTTTAGA